AAAAGAAAAGAAAAGAAAAGAAAAGAAAAGAAAAGAAAAGAAAAGAAAAGAAAAGAAAAGAAAAGAAAAGAAAAGAAAAGAAAAGAAAAGAAAAGAAAAGAAAAGAAAAAAGAGAGCAGTCACTTCATCTGTAACATGCTTTCTTTCCATCTTATTTATTTATTCATTCATTCATTTATTCACTCTACACGTCTTCCAAGATCTGTGGTTCCTCTGCTTTTTCTTGCCTGCCTTGAGAAGCAAATCCTATGAAGTACACTTCCCAACATCCTCTAGCAAAATGGTAGTACACACAAAGGCAGGAAACATCATATTATCAGAACAAGTATTGACAAGGCATTTGCTCCATCAAGTTAAGCTTTTGGTACGTTGCATTTAATCATTCATTTGTTGCAGCTGCAACAGTTACATCATTTCACCTTTATAATGAATCCCAGTTTGCTGAGACCAACCAAGATTAGAGAATGACAGCCTTTCATGGAGCTACGAGTCATATCAAGTTGTCCTCTGCTACATCTAACAGATGATTTTATTTACCATGAAAGATATAAATAATGATATTCTGGAAGCCATCAAAGAACATCATGACTCAATAACCTCACAGCATGAGTGAAAATTTACAGTACTTTCATTTGACCTGCAGGTCCAGAGAAACCATGGGAACGGTAAGTGTCCTGTGAATACTGGAGCAGGCAATCCTGCTTATTAATAGGTTAATATTTGGACAATATTAACCAGAGAAGTGCAAGAAACTTAAAATTTTAATTCAGAAGTCCATTAGGAATCTGAAAAAGTGATGTAAACACAGCGCGTTTTCCAAACTTCTCTCTTGATATCACATCCTTTCTTCAGTGTAACAAAAATCCACTTTGAGCAAAAACTGTATTTCTGGCCTGTTTGTTAAATAAGAAAGCTGTTTTATCTCACTGTAGGACTAAGCACCACCACAGCTATTGTGAGTAGTTTCACACTGAGATTTTGTAGAACTCTTTCTATTAATTCTGAATCTATGGCAGCAGTCCTGCATCACTCTTTGCTATGATACTCAGGTTTCTTTTAGGAAGAAAGTTCTAGAAATTAGAATCATCAATAACATTACAGAAACATTTTAAAAGAAAAAATAGTAGTCTCAAAACGAACATTTCTGTTTGTGTGATTGGTTGTTTTGGGTTTTTAGGGTTTTGTGTGTGTGTGTGCACTTTGGGTTTCTGAAAAAGTCCTATATGCTATGTAGAACAAATATCTTTCTCCTGAGACTATTTTAGTCAGGTCTATTTAGGGGTGGCTAAAGAAAGCCTCCCTGAGATCACTGACAGGAGTCATCACCAGCCTGACTCTGAGTGGGAAGCTGCTTCTCCAGCTGTGAGATAACAAACAAAGCAGTTGAAGGTTGGACTGGTTTGCTCTGAGAACTTCAAATTTATACGTTTATATTTAATAAATAGGGAATTATTAATCCATACTTCCAGTGTGCTTGAAACCAGTCCATCATTTGAATAAACCATAAATGTCTGGTCCCTGATTGACCTCGGGCGTTGTGTAAAATTCAGAGAGAGAGAGCATGGCTGCCCCAGAAACAAAGAAAGGAATCTTTCCAGGATATTACAGTGGTTACATTGCAATATCTTTCTCTTAAAAAACTGAGATCCTTGGCACTAGCACTATTGTAGTGCTGTATGAATGGAATTCACAGACGATGCTACAGTGCTGTATGAATGGAGCTGTGGTGTGGAAGGGCTTCATCGGAATTCTGCCAATCCACTCATCTAAATGGCTTTGCCACTGATCATCAGCTCACATCAAAGCTAGTAAAAAATCCTTAATTCTCAATGGAAATTAGTGGGTTGGTGGAGTTTCCTTGTTAGAAGCACGGATACTTTCCAGTCAACCCTTTTCTCGTGGTGCCCACGGGAACTGTGGACAATCTGTTATTGTCAACTGCTAAGAATGTGACTATATTTGATCTTTCTCCTAACACCCAACAGCTCAGTTCTTTCCTTCCAAACACAAAATCAGCATTGGGGAAAAAAGGTGTCATATGACTTGCCCTGGAGAACTGCCTTGATTCCACTACTGAGGAAGTATATTGCAAACAAATCCCTCTCAGCCAGTCCTGTCCACATTGCTCTTGGGCTCTGTCGGCTTTCTCTCGCTGCCTTGAGGCAGGCTGCATGGACAAAGAGGAGTTTGCTCTCATGTGGGCTGCCTTAATCCTGGCATCATTTTCACACTTACTTGAGAAACTTTAGGAGAGAGACTCTGTACAAACTACTTTGAGAAGGGTGGTCTAAACAGTATGCAGAGATAACTAAGAGCAAAATAACACATTTGACCTTGGTGCAGCCCTAAATTTGTGTACAGCTGTTTCCAACACTGTGTCCTCTCACCTTTCTGTGTTCCATGGTGTCCTAGCACTTTGCTAACTAGGGAGGGTCTTTTAAAATAGAGAAATGTAAATGTAGTGTAATTTATTCATTCTTTAAAGTGTTGCTACTCTGACAGTTCAGGAGAGCACAACAAAAGCGCTGCAAAGGTAAAAAAACGCATGATGAGGGCATCCAACCTACCCATGGACTTTGCGTTCAGAGGATTCATATCCCTGTGAACAGAAAGAAAGGGCCTGATATGGAATCAGGGCATCCAGGATGACTGATGAAGATGACCAAAATGTATGTGCTCCTCCAGCAGTCAGTGGAACTAAATGATTCCATAACAATGTGCAGCCCAAGTAACAAGGTGAGCCACCTGTGTCGGTACCACATCCTCTGCTGTTTGCAGAAGCCTTACTAGGTCAAAACACTAACACTGGTAGACACCCCAGAATGAAGGCCCCACCCTCTCATGCCCTATTTTCCAACTATTTTTCCTTCCTCGAAATAGTGTCTTTTAGCCACTCACCACCAAGGTCTTCAATTTTATTAGCACAGCTGCCTTCACTCTTATCCAGAGGGCAGGATAAGCCTACAGTTACTGTACACTAAACAGAAACACCTGTGACTCTCTCTTTTTCATATACATTCATATATATACATATATTAGTTATTATTTCTTTTCTTCAGAGCACTAAGTCCCATGTTCTGCAAAGGAAAATAAATCCTCGTCCTTACATTCTCTCCCACACTCCCCACGTGGCCTTGATAGACAAGCACAGACGGTGCAGCAAATATTTCACTTCACTTTATTTTAAAGAAAAGGAGAGAGGGGGGGAGAGAATTCTTGTGGCATTCCAGAGGTCCCTGGACACTCATTCCAAATGCCAGAGTTGGGCCTTGGGTGAGTTTCAGTCTAAAAGAGAACCTGGGTTTCTAGGCAGCCATCCAAACTCAACACAGACACTTTTTTTTCTTTCTAAATCAGTTAAAAAAATTAAGACCTAAAGAGAAGGGGAAGGGAAAAAAAAAAAGAGAGAGAATGAGAGAGAGAGAAGAAAGAGAGAGAAGTGAAGGGGAAGGGGACACAATCAAGGCAGAAGAAAATGAGTGCAACAGGAAGAATCCAAATCGTCTGTTTGGCTTTTTGTCAATTCAGAGTTTTATCCCCAAGAGGCAGAGTTCTATCCATGCAAGGAGAAAGGCAGCTTCCCTCATGGCCATGAACAGATGATGAAGCGAATCAGGCCACCTTTCTCTCCTTGGTGATGGCTCCTGCCCGTTGGTTTTGCAGCTGGTTCTCACCATGGTTTTGCCCACATTGGCTCTGGTCATCCTCTTCCCTGGTGCACATGTGAGGGCAGCTCTGGAACAACCGTCCTGGAGGTGTCCAGGTCTGGCTTATGTATTCAGCCCCACTCCAGCTTTGCTTAACCAATAGCATGGCCAGATCCACTGCAGCTCAATCTACCCAGCACCTTGGTCACCATGGGAGATGCACTGCACTGCTGGAGAACTGGGACTTGTCTTGAGACTTCCTCAAGACAGTTAATGACACATACTGACCTCAGCTCACAGAAAGCCACAATATCACTTGTTTCTATCACTTGCATTCATGGTATTAATCAACACGGAGGTTTAATTAGAAGATCAGTTAACTGCTGAG